TACCTTAATTACAAACACCTGCTGATGTGACAACCACAAGCTGGTTTTGCAAACACATTTGAACTTGGTCCCATTTCATTCTGCAAATCCATGCTGCAATGACATGCTACATGGCAATGCACACTGATGATGATGCAGTGTGTGTGCTACAGAGCACACAACACATACTGTATTTTGTACATTTGTGTTCTGAAATGTAAATTTGTTGAGTGATTTTGCACTTCCTGGCCACAGTAAAAAGGAAAAATTACTACTTTTTAAATTTTAATTAAAAATAAGTATACTTTTTTAAATCCTAAAGGGAAATTGTTGTAACTCCTTGGTTTTTTCAAAGAGTTTAAGATCTGCTGTAGCGGTCCATCTTACAGTGGATCAAGATGGCACTCTACAACAGACTTCTAGAAGATCTGCAGCACCTTCCTGCAAACATTGAAGGCTTCGTCAACATGTACAGTCTCTGTCCCTCCTTGTAGACGGCTGCACTGTTGTGTCTCCGGTGCAGTCTTTGAGGTGAACTCCTCCACCAGCTTCTCTTCTCCCATGATAGAAATAGTGTTGGAAACGGAGCTACTCCACTTGCTGCCACCTTGAATTGTGCAATTCTAGAACACTTTAATTATAATGAAAATTAATAATAATAATAATTAAGATTATATTTTCACTATTTTATTTAAATAACCCATAGGTGCACTGTTTATGTTTTGTAAAAGCAATGGTTGCAAACGTTTGAACGCACTATCCCTGCCTGTTTCTCCACAGAATCCTCTGTTCGACGTGATGATGGGTCACGTATGAATAAATGAGTCAGGAGTTAAATTGAGTTGGGTGGGCCTCCATTCATAACCTCAGCATGCATCTGTTGCCCCTTCAGGCAGATGAGGAAAGCCTCATTTAGAACTCAGGCAAACATCTGGAGATCCCGGCAACGGAGACACCAGATGGTTGTTTTTATGTCTTATTTTCTTACCTTTTATCCCAGAATTATCTTCTAACTTGTTCCTGTTGACTGAAGTGATGCCCAGGAGAAAGACAAACTAGTTTAGATCAGCTGCCATTAACCCCTCACATCCTGCTGCAGCCCTTGGCTTGTCACCTTGTTCTTTATTAACATGTAGGGTGGTGTTTGCTCGCAGGAGAGGGGGCTGTCGGCACAAACCACTGAAGGCGTCATCGTGGGATTTCATGAGGACAGGACGGGCTCTGCTGGTGGTCAGCTTTCATTTTTACACCAAAATGTTTTTCATAACTGTTAGATGATTAAAATATCCAKAGTTGCACTTTTTGATTACGATGCCACAAAACAGGACATGGCCCATTTTTAAAGGGATGGTTTATTTGGAAGTGGTGTTCTGTGGATTTATTAGTAATCAATGTCTTACCTGCAGTAAGAATCACTCAGAACAGTTTCAGTTTAAAATATCAGGCAGAGGTTTTCTTGAACTCTCTTGGAGAATTTAACAGGTTGTCCAAGCMGCCAAATTCAAATTCAAAAAATTAATTCATTTCATTTTTAAATAAAAACAAAGAAAACATACTTTACAAAAAATACACAACTTATATTT